CCCGGGACGCGAAGGCCGCATCCTCTCCTGAGCGCGGTGCGCGGTTATCTCTCTGGCGGGGCTAGGGCTCAGCTAGGGAAGGGGTCTCCCCTCGCTCCCTGTGGCTGGTTTGTTTTTCTCTGTTTACAAGCTGGTTTTTCATGGTTTGGGAGAGGAATGCCTTATATGCTTCTAGTGAAGTTAAGCCTGCTAAAAGCATACCTTAGTGAAAAGCTAACGTGGGTTTATTTGGGTTTTTCCTATAGTCTACATATCGAGATGGCTTTTTTCTGGCTCATTTTCTCACAGGCAGCTGTCTTATATTGCTTTTGTTTCTATTTATCTGATGCGGTCATACAAATGGTTTAACATATATTTCTTTGGACACTCCCTAGGTATTTTCATCTCGCAAGTATGGGTGAACCTCAGCAAGTGAGTGCCCTTCCTCCGCCTCCAATGCAATACATAAAAGAATATACTGATGAAAATATCCGTAAAGGCCTGGCTCCAAAGCCCCCTCCACCAGTGAAAGACAGTTATATGATGTTTGGTAATCAGTTTCAATGTGATGATCTGATTATTCGACCCTTGGAGAGCCAAGGTATTGAACGGTTACATCCTATGCAGTTTGATCACAAGAAGGAATTAAGAAAACTTAACATGTCTATTCTGGTCAACTTTTTGGACCTCTTGGATATCTTGATAAGGAGTCCAGGGAGTATAAAGCGAGAGGAGAAACTAGAAGACTTGAAACTGCTTTTTGTTCATGTGCATCATCTTATAAATGAGTATCGCCCTCACCAAGCTAGGGAGACACTGAGAGTCATGATGGAGGTGCAGAAGCGTCAGCGGTTGGAAACAGCAGAGCGATTTCAGAAGCACTTAGAGCGAGTTGTAGAGATGATTCAGAACTGCCTGGCTTCCTTGCCTGATGATCTGCCTCATGCAGAGGGAGGACTGGGAGTGAAAGTGGAAAGAATGGATGCTGATGATGGCAGCAGCTGTGCTGGACAGAGCGAAAAGCAGAGAGAGTCTTCTGGTGGCAAAAGAGATCAGGTTTTAGACAAAGATGCAGCTATGTGTAGCATTATCGATGAAATGACATGAAGAAGACACTTTTTTTTGTAAGCTCACTATAGTGAGAGGCAGAACGGATTCTGAGGGTATATGTTGTATTTTGTTTTGCTGTTCTATAAGCGGACAAAGCATTTATTGTACACATCTTGGAGGTTGTGAGTGACTAGGCAGATGAAAATGTTTACTATTTTGTGTTCATTGGTAGAAACAAAAAAGTATACTTTTTGTTAAATGTATTATATGAGCTGGTAGCCACAGATTGAGGTTAGCTTTTTCTGTTGTACTTTCATTTGTTACTTTCTGCTTTTTTTGGGTATGCTTCATTTTTTAAAAAATTACGTTATAGTGTAGAGGCAAGTAAGGGATCTGACTGAGAGGAATTGCAGTTGACAGTTCATCCATTTCGTGCTCGTTATTTACAATTTCAGTGGGTCATTTCAGGAATGTGTAATTCAATATTAAAAATAAAATGTGAAATCTGCAAAATCAATTTCTTTCTAGTTTTGTAATAATATAACTACTAAAGAGAACCTAAGAATTCCTTTAAATGTGGTGTAATTATAGAGGCACACTGCCAGGAATCTTAACAACTAAATGAATTAAAATTAGTTGGATTTAAATTTTCTTAGATACAAATCATAACCAGTCTTGAGCTTAAAAAAATGCCTGCTTTTTTTTTTTTTTACACATAGATGCTTAGACTAATTTATATTTCTTGCGTAGTTAGTATACATGCATGAAGTGAATAATTTTGCAGTGCAGATGCTTTGTATTTGCCTTTTAGGTGGGCTGTGTGCCCAGCTGAGTGTTTTTCTCAGGAAGGAGAGTCTGATTGGCTAATTAGCCTTTTTGCTAATTGAGAACTAAGTTTGAAAAAACCTGCAAGTATTCTATCAAGTGGAAGCCGTATCAACCATGTTTAAAGAACATTTGAGTTGCATCAGCCCCCCCATAGCAAGAGGAAAAGAGTGGTTTGATAGGGAAGAAGTGGCTTCTTTACCCTGCCCTTCCTGTCACGGAAACAGCACTTCCATCTTTTTGCCACATAACACCCTAGGATGTATGTTTTCCAAAGTATGTACAGCAGCTGAAACCAGGTAAACGTGGTGGGTGAGGGAACTTGTACAAACTCTGGTTTTAGCTGTGATTTAACAAGCTATGTCTCTGTTTCGTTTGATAATTCTGTTGCTTTCACAAACTTTACTTAAGCGGGCAGGCAAAAGTACTGAGCTGCTGGGTGGTGGGGGCTGAGCTCAGTGCAGATGAAATGAACTGAAGCAAGTCTGACTCACTGGAGGACATCTGCTATTTTAAGTACACATGACATTGTAAGTAACAATGAAGAAGTAGAAACATTTTTTTTTTTTAGAAATATATAAATAATGTTACAAAGTAAACGCTTTGTCCTTTATGCAACCACCACTGCTTGCTTCCTTCTCCCTGGGCTAGATATTGCTTGTAGGTAACTAAAACTGTTGCAAATGAGCAGAATTAATTTGGTATTTCCTTTGCGAATGTTTCATGTTGAAGATATGAAGAAACATTTAGTGCCTCCTGGATAAGAGAGGTTGTACACTGTGGAACCACACTTTGTCATGGATATTTTAACTTTGCCATTCAAAAAGAACTCTGATAGATTCTCAATGATTTTCTGTTGATTTTTGTCCAATTTTTATGCTTTTAATAAAGTCATTGGCCTGGGTACCATAGTTTCAAAATACTGCACACGCTGGGTCCTAGCAGCAGTCAACAATTGCTGTGAACATTTCTGTGAAACCATTGAGGTAAGCAAGGATTGTGTAATTTAAAAAAATACTAAAGGCTGCTTTCACTTTGCAAAAACTTTCCTGAACAGTTTTCCTGTTTAGTTTAGATTATTTTTTTCTCTATGTTTAAAGTAAACCCTTAGAAAGGTGTAGGAGGCTTCCTGGGCTTTTTAATGTGAAAACAATGACTTTTCCCTCCTTTTTCAGGTCAAAGCAATGATAATTTTCCATTTTTCTGTTACAACTTTGCTTTTGGAAAAAAAAAAAACAGACTGTAGCTGCTCTGAAGGCAGGGGGTGACATCTGCCCATTAGTCGGGGAAATGGGCATTTCAAATGGAGGATGGTGAGACTCACTGACTATCAAAGGAGATGATAAATGTTGTTTTTAGTGTGTTATTTAACCTGCTCCTTATGATGAGATCTTTCCGTACCTCATGTGAGAACATTTGAAAGTACTCTACCTCTGATGTTAATGTATACAATATGTGTTTGATTATACAGGCCTTCTGAAATTTGATGAGCTAATCTTAATATCAGTTGTTAAGCAGCATTTTGTTGGATGTCTTTAAAAAAAGGGGGAGGAAGAGAAAAATCCCAGCCCTTCTGCTACACTGCCTGAACAAGCACAGGGATAACAGAAGCACAGTTGGTTGAAAAGTTCTGAAAGTTTCTTGATACAGAGAAGCCAAGTGTGTCACCGGTGGACAAAAGGGGAGTTTGTAGCTTTGACAATCTAGGGGGAAAAGAAAAAAAGCTGTTTAATCATATGGCTTTAAAACAGTGTGATGAAGAGGTGTTTCCAACAATGTTTTAAACTTATGTTTAATGGTTTGGCTTTATTTTCACACAGTGTGATCTGGCTCTGAGCTCTGAGTCAAGAAAAAAATTGCAGCTACTTTAAGGGCTGCATGAAAAAGATGATGTTAGCATCTTTTCTACAGAAATGGTGCTAGTTTCTTGCACGAACGAAAAATAGGAACTTGGAAAACAGGCATGTAGAAACTCAGAAATGGTATCAAGGCATTCCGTTCCTTTCACCGCAGTCTTACCTATCCTGAGTAATCTCCCATCCAAGTTCTATTTACTGTGGCAAGAACAGGTGTGGAAAGTGGTATGGGGTGATGGATCACTCATAGTTGTGTCAGCTCAGTGGTGCTGGCAACAGTTTCATCTACTGTAACCAAGCAGATCTGGAAAAAATGAGAAGTAGGTTTCTGAAGTACTGCGAAGTGTTTCAGTCTTTCAGTCAAACCACAGTCAGCAGGAGGCTGTGTTCGCTACCAGCAGCAGCACTTGGCTGTGCTGCCCGAGACAGACTAACCACAGGAAAGGCAACCTGCTGAGAGTAAAGGGCATTCTCGGCTGTGCCTGAAGATGATGTGCTAAGGAGTAAAACCAGAAGTTTATGAAGAAGAAAAGTTTTCTTGAATGTAGGTGCCCGGAGGGTGAACGGGAGTGTTGTTCCTCTACCTCAGCCACAATGTCTTCTTATTTCTGCATGAGCTGGATTCTTCTGGTCCTGTGTACAGGTAACTAAGTATGCCTAAAATAGGCAGAGGTGGATAGAGGTAATGTGCATCAATGGTTGAGGACTGTAAAGAGATTTTTATGTCACAACAGGAAGAGTGGCCACATGGCACAGAAACTGCATTTTTGTGCTATGGATAGAACTTTGTCACAGTGGCTCAGTAGCCTTCTGATGGCCTTATTTCTTTTTTAAAACAAAATCACATTGAGGCTATGATGGTTTTAAAGGCACTGCTTCTTGGGCTGTCTGCTAGTTTTATTAGTGATTGATCTTTTGTTCTTTTTTAGATAATAATGATCTGAGATGAGCAGAGAAATCGTTTTTTATAAGATGTAAAACAAAGATATTTCACTTCAATGGGCTTTGTGAACTGTGGTCAACTGTGGCTGCTGGTGTTTTTTTTTAGCCAATATGAAATTTTATTGGGACAAATTGTTATTTTCTCCTTTGTTATTCTGAGAAAGCAGTCCTAGGAAAATACTGTTAAAGGCAATAGCACTGGAAACAACAGGTTGCAGAGTGGTACTAGTATAGGGAGATAGACATTAAAAAGTTGGTGGTAGAATATGTTCAGTAGAAAGAAAAGGAATATTGCAGATCTTGTTTTTTGTAGTTCTTTGTAAAGACTTTTTTTTTTTTTTTAACTGTAATGGCTTAGGTTAGGAAAATGACTGAGTTGAGATGGGCAAACCTGCTTTTTCACGAGGGACAGTTGCAATCAAGCCACGCAGTGTATGACCAGAGCACAAATTATTTTGGCTGGTACTCAACACAGCTTGTTATTAAAACCCTCCTAAAGGGAATATTGACTGGAGTGGTCTAAATACAGCAAAAGAAACTATCTCCCTGCGACGAATGGGTTGCTGGCTGCTAGGTCGCACTGTTTTGACTCGCATAGCGTGACACAGGCTTGAGGAAATGTGAAAAATGAATTTTAACAGGAACCAAACAAGTTAGAAACTGTATAAAAATGAGGTAAGAAAATAAGGCAGTGAAAAAAGAGGGTATAAAATTTCTCAGAAAAGCTCTGAAAAATCTCTTCTGATAGGAATGGGCAAAACCTGTCATTAGGCAAGAAAAAAGGAACTGCGTTCAGTAGTGATCATTCTGATGAAAGCTGCTGTTCAGTGGCCTTTCATTGAAAGGGAGGAAGAGTTTCCCACAATGGTTTTGATGAAAGTCAGTGTCTTACTTTTCCCCCATGTGTGGCTTGGATTAAATCTGAACTAAGGAAAAATATAAAGAGGTAACAGACCAGACATGGCTAAAGAGAAGCCACAGCGCTGTGCAGATACCAACTCTCTTCTTTCTTCACCCCTCTGCCTACCTGCAGAGGCTGCAGAAAGTGTATTTCTTCCATCTCTGGCTAGAGACACATTCTGAACAAATCACTCGCCCTGTCGTTATCCCTCACTGCGTCAGTCCTGCTGGGATTCGCATCTATTTGTGGGAAAACCTGATCCAGCAATGCCTGGTGGTATTTGCAAGATGGGAAGTACCGGGTTATGGAAGATGCACGAGAAGCTTCCAGTTGCTTGCACTGTGCTCAACAGCTGCGTTCGTCTCTTTGTCCACAGGCCCCGCAGTATCAGGATCGGTTGTGAAAGGCCACGTTGGTCAGAATGTCACCGTGCCCTGCTTTTACAGCGTTCAGGGGCCACACGACATCACATCCATGTGCTGGGGTCGCGATAGCTGCCCTGCTTCAAAATGTTCTCGGACCATTATCTGGACAGATGGATGGAGGGTGACAGAGCGGTCCAGCAGCAGGTATCTGTTGAAAGGGAACCTGTCGATGGGCGATGTGTCCCTCACCATCGTGGACGCTGAGGAAGCAGACAGTGGGGTATACTGCTGCCGCGTGGAGATCTTGGGGTGGTTCAATGATCAGACAAGTAATCACAACGTTGTGATAGAGAAAGGTGAGTGCACAGGCGTGCTCTGGTGTGAGCACCGTTCTGGTAAGTCTGCTGTTGAGTCTGGATTTCAAAGCTTGTGGTGGAAATGATTTTTGAAATAATCCATAGGACTGCTCTTTAGGACTTTGCAGATCTGCTATTTAAATTAGGCTGTCTTTGGTATTGTTGTAATCCCAGCACAGTCACTGAGATTAAAAAAAGGATGTGGTGCTTTGTTTCATGGTGCACAGCACTACTGAGCTTTCATAGAAACACTATTTGAAGAATTTAAGAGGGCAGCATAGGCTACTTAATTAATGCAAAGTGTTATACTTGCACCCTTTTTATAGAAAACAGTGCTTCATTTCCCCTGCTTGATTCTAGAGTAAAGCCCAGAGAAAAAAAAATTAGCATAGACTATTTTCTGTTATCAACTCTTCCTTTGATTTTTAGTTTTTCTCTTGTTTGTAAAAAGCATGATATATGGAAGACGTGGCTGGCAGATGTACTTGTGTAGCTCATATTAGCAAGCTTCTATTGTAGAAACACTTTCTCTTTTTCACTACATAAATGCACACTAAGGTTAATTATAACATATGATGGTTTTGTTTTATTTTTTAACATCAGCTAGGATCTCTACTGCAAGTCCTCACACATACACCTCTGAACAGACCTCAGGTAACTTTTATCCAAGTATTAATCTCAGTAGCATATATAAGCTATGTTGCAAATGGGGATTTTAGGAAGGAAACAAAATGATAGATGATAGAAATGTCTTGGTTAACATTTACTGAACTTTATCGTAGAACCAGAGATCAGAACTTGGATTTAAATTCTCCCTGACAGTATACGGAGAATCCAACAGGAGGAACATGTATACATGAGAGGAACTTTGCTCCCAGGTGTTACAGCTATAACTTGTGTCTCTGAGGCTGCCCACGTCCTCTGCAGTATACGCGCATTTCATGTAGCCCCTCATTGTAGTGGAAGGGACAGTGAACGACTGTTCCTCATGCTGTTTCCCATTCCACTCACAAGGTTATAGATTTTTATTGTATACTCATGCAGCTCCATCTTTTTCAGTCTGAAAAAGACAACTTTAATTTCCAGTACACAAGAGAGAGCTCATAGTGTAATGATAACTTATTCTCTGGATTTTGATAGAAGAATCATCTATGCCATTTGTATTTCTCCCTCTGTCTCGGATGTTTCCAGCTAAGCAACTCTGTAAAATGTTACAACAGTTGCATTTCCTTTTTGGAAGAAGAAGTGAAAACTTTTCTCAGACTGTTTCTGTTCTTGCTGCAAGTAACATGGCTTCCAATCTTAGAACTCATGGGTTTTCTTCACCCTGTGATGTCTTCCTTAGCTGCTGGTGAAAGAATTTTTAGTGTTTTCAGAATACATGTTAATATGTGCATGTTCACACAGAGGGAAGCTGGAAAAGGCAGGCGGCTGTGTGCCTCTCATGTAGGAGCGCTCCAGAGTCTCCACTGGAAGAGAACAGTGAAGCAGATGATCCTGTGCTCTTCAAAATAACGCTTCTGGGATAAGGGGAGCAATTTAAAACACCAAAGGAACCGGCTGGGGTTGTCAATGTGAACAGGAGACTTTGTTTTCAGGAGGGTTGTATGTAATCTGACAACACATGGAGAAACTGAGACTGATACGGAAGACATAAGTTTGTAGCTCTGAATTTTAAATAATGCAAACAGCTTTAATCAGGGAAATTACCTCAAAATATGCTGCAGGTCCTTATGCAAACACACCACACTGTTTCTGTTTGTTGTATAGCTGTCTGGGGCTTTAAAAGTATCACTTGCTCTAACTCTGCACCACTTGCTCTTTCAAGGCCCTGAGCTGACCTTAATCAGTTTTCATAAGATAACCTAAGTTTGCTTTAGGCATCCACTGCCTCTTCTTGGTTCCACAACCAGCTGCCTGCCTTGCTAACCCCTTCCTTCTGGGTCCTGTGTTGAGATCACAGCAAGAGCTGAGTATCTTCTGGAGGGAATTCAAAGCCCTGGAAAGGGCAGCAGAGGCTCCACTACTCAGAGTTTTGTGCTGCCCTCTGAAGGCACCAACCTCTTTACGATAGAGAGGGATGTTCATTGGTCCCAAGTCAGCAGTACTAATTCTTCTCTGTCATGGTTCGGTGTAAGTGATGTGTTTGTCTTGCCTTTGCTCAGCTCCTGGGAGCACCAGCAAATCATCCGCTACCGTCACAAGAACGTGGCTGTCGGTTTCTTCTTCAGAAGCTCCTCAGACTGTAAGCATCTCTGTGTGCTACAGCATACCTCGACAGTGGGTAGATGTAAGAGGTTATTGGGTCATCCCTACAGTTCACTTCTTTTACAATCAAACTAAAACAGAACAATATTTTTTTTGTAGTCTGCATGTTTAGTGCTTATGAAAGAATGCTTATGTGCTCATTATTAAAGGGGGAAAAACCTGCTTTGCATGCATAAAGTACTTCCTACTAATGCAGGAACCTCTGCATTGCCTTTCAGGCCTCTGGTCCCTGCTCAAGCACCTCGGACTGCTTGGATGTAACCTCAAACCTGCAGGTATGGCTGGACATGGGGAAGCATCAGACCCCCTGCGAGCACAGCAGTGCACCTGCGCTGCCCATGCAGCGGGGTTCAGACAGGCAGCTCTGCGTCTGTCCTGCTGAGTCCTCCAGCACATATTGCAGGGTGACAGCCAGTAACATCACCCAGACTTCATCAGGAAGAGCAGACGTCCAAGCTGGCCCTTGGAAAGGCCTGCTGTGATGTACTGCAAGGCAGTATGTGCTGTGGGTGCACATTCTGCTTGTGCAGCACTCTGGAAGTCAGGGACCACACTGTGCTTTGGTGTCTTCCCAGTTCTGATCTCTGAGGGAGAAGTTAGATATCTAATGCTGGCTTCAGAAAAGTTTTGCCTAAATAAAGACCAATGCAAGGAGAAAGCATCCTTGCTTACTGGTATAAAGCCCTGAATAACTACTGAATAAGCTGACAAAAAAGGGGGTGTGTGTAACACCTGTAGATATTTCAATCATAAAAAATAAAATATTAATCAAATAGTATTAAACCTGAACAAATGGGATTTGTCAACTTCAAATCCTTTCACTATCTCAAGAAATAATGTGTTTGACAGCATGGTTCACACAACTGCTGCAGTGACTCTGCTTGAAACTAGTCCTGTATCTCAACTTAGGCTCTTGCTCTCTAGTATACTTTTACTGCAGGGCTGCAAAACACACCAATGCCCTTGGGGTACTGCCTGGGTTTGTTGCTCTCAGTGTCACTAATGCTCGTCTGTTTTGTGTTTGACAGAACGTGTCTGTATCACTTCCCAATCAGCAGTATTCAGAAAATGGGCTATACATTGGGATCGGTTTATGTGCAGCACTTCTTGCCATCCTTATTTTGGCTCTGTTCCTCACTAGACGTAAGTACTGTTCACAGGTGGTTGTTCACAGATGGGTCAGGTATCTCAAGTCACAGCTACGGCAGATGCCACATGTCTTCTGCTTCAAGGAAGCCAGCTGAGGTCTCTGGATGCCTCGCTCTGTGCCCTGTGCTGTTGCTGCTGGCTCAGCTCCCCCCCTCAGCATCTGGGGCACAGAACAGCAAGGTCCCAATGTGTTATCATCAGTTTATGTCTCAGACTCCGTAGCAGCCAGTTGACCCACAGTCTGGTGAGGACATGCATTATATAAGCCCCCCTTCCCTGCCCCACTCATTTCCTCCTACCTGTTCCTCCGTTGCCATGTTGTCCCAGTCCTTCCCAACGATAATGGGAGGGGCACTAGCTTCAGATAACTATATCCAACCATTTATTATGTGGCAGACTTTCTGCATAGAGGCTCTTGGTCAGACCAAGCCATATGAATTAGATTTTGTGGAAATAATGGAGATATCCTATACTGAAAACAACTAGAAGTTGTTTTCAACTAAGTTCCCTTATCTAGTTTCTTACACTTGATTTTTTTTTTTTAATGTGCTACTTTACTTGCTTATGATGGCTTAAAGAAAATTATTTGTTTTGTTTCCTTTTTTCTTTATTTTCATTCTGGATGGTCCTTAGAATATTTATACAATACGAAGAAGACAGGTGACTTCACAAAGTAAGTATTCTGTTTCTGCTTTAGCTAATAGGACAAACTAGGTTGCAGAAAGAAGATGTCCATATGCTGACCACTCCACCACAGACTTTGATTTTCTCTTTTAGTCTCAAGTTAATAGGAAACATTGCAAAAAGAAAATTTAAAATCCTGCTACTTAGTAAGCAAAAATGAGTATAACTGTCAGTTCATTGCATTAGGGAATGTGGAAACTTCAAGCATGGGTTGTCTCATAAGGGGAAAATGGATTCATTTTCAGTCATGTTTAAACAAGTGGTTTTGCATGTTCTTTTATTTATAGTGAACTGGTTGATTTTAGCTATTTGCTCTTCTGTGTTTCTATTGTTTGTTTTTTGTTTAACAGCATGGTTTTTACTCTTTTGTGCAGCTTCATTGCATATTGGAGACCAGAACGTGCAGGGAACCATAGTGCCCTGGAAGATGAGAACCATGCAGAGGAAAACATTTATGTGATACACTAAGGACTGCATGCATGCCTGCCTTTGTCATCGCTGGGACATTCCATAGTTGGCAAAATGCTAGCTGTTCCCTTTACTCAGCAGCTAAATGTGCCTGCACTATTGAAGCATTATTCACATCATTCTAATAAAACAAATAAAAGCTACACTTCTACTTAAAAACTTTATCAGCCTGTTCCAGAAACAGAAGCCCTTCTGGCTTGACTAGAAGTTTCCACTTATCAAACCCTAAAGAAAGTTACCATTGCATTTGTTATCTGCTTCACATTCTCTCTTCCTTTTTTTTGGGAAAAAAAAAAAAAAAAAGGAACTGCCGGAAGAACCACTCAATCACAAAAGGAAAACCACACACATTTTTTTTAAAGTTTGTCTTGTATATTGTATCTGTCAGCTATGAAAGAGTCCATGCCATCAGAGGGCAGAAGCAATCCCATAGCTGCCATGACAAAGATGACACATGGAAAAACCTGGTAGTATTAGTGTTTCAAGATGCATTTAGTTCAACTTTCATTGAAGTTGTGTATACCCACGTCCTCAGTGTGGAAAGCCTCACCCCCCAGGCCTCTACTAAAACAACTGAACAAAAAAACCCCTACTTTGTAAAGTTAATAAAATCCATACTTGTCTTAGCTTGTGGAGAAGTCATCGACGTTGCACAAGATATTGGCTGGAAGTTTGCCCTGCTGTTCCACCCCTCTAGATACCAAGCAACTCTCATGTCTTTTACTGGATTGTTTGATGGCTTTTAGCTCATAAATGGGAAGTATCTGTAGCCTGGTGCCATTCCTCTGTTGCTCCTCAATTGGACAGGGCTCTTAGCTATTCTTCTCTTCAACACTAAACTTGGTTTACTTCAAATAAATAAATGGAGGCAGCCCTGTGAGGATGAATTAACACTTTATGCATTGTTTAGCAATAGACATAACACACCCAAATCAGCGTTAAGTAGAAGAACAGTTTTCCCCAATTGTTTTTAAGATCACATTTTTAAACAGAGGCTGAGGGCTTCCTGAAAAAGCAGAAAAGTAGCCCAGGAAGGAGAGACACCAACTCCTACCAAATATTGGTCAGTACAAATTTTGCCTTAAAGCTCATCCCTAGCAGCGATGTAGAACACCTACAGCAGACATTGCTGCCACAGGGAAGACTCACAGACTTACTGCAAGCTTTCTGTCGTTGAGTTCTTCATTTTCAAGGGAGTCATGCAAAGAACAAAGCTGTGTTATACAATGAGGCACAAAAGAGCGATAATAAGGTCAGCAGGTATTTCTGTTAACAGCTGAGACACTCGGGGTCATGGTCTGGTTGTGCTTTAAGGGGAGCTGGGGTCAGTGGAGCAGTTACCCATCCTTCCCCAGCTGGTAGCAATGGGAGAGCTCGAGCAGGCTGGGGAGGGGGGTGGTTCCCCAGGAGTCCTGGAAAGTCTGGCTGGGGTGGGGTATTGCAGGTGAGTGTGTTTGAAAAGGCTCGAGAGGGAGGGAAAGTCTCCTCATCCTGTTGAGGAAGGAAGAAATGGAAAACAAGCTGGGGTAGGTGACCCTGGAGTGCTTTGTGTTTTCACTTGTGCTGCGTGTTGTCTCAGGGCTGTCTGTTACAGCAGGCTAAAAGGTTGAAAATGGACAGATGAGTTCATGGCTGATTGAAGAGGTCGGTGTAGGAGCACAGATACTAGGGGATTACTGAGCCCTGGGCCAGGAAAGGCAGTGAAGGAGAACAGCTCTGCCATTTTCTATCTTCATGTCACGTGTTGCCTTGTGTAAGAAGGTACCAAAAATAGAAAGGAGCTGCTGGTGTATTTTTGTATTTGACTATTAGTAACAATTACCAAACTCAAATCACTGACCCCACTGCAGACGTTGCTTTCCTTCTGCCTGGCTGAGCATGTTGCTGCTGGGGGCTCTAGCCCATGACCGGAGCTGGAGGAAGTCTGGTCTGGTCTCTGAACTAGATCTCAGAAAACATCTTCAGCAATTTCTGCTTTCTGCATTTTTTACCAGATCTGTACTGGGATCAGAGTCAGACAAGTGTGGGGTTTCCAAAATTATCTGATTCCAGCCACTCATGCTCTTAAGGAGTTTGAGGACCATCTTTGAACACTGCTAATCATGAAAACTACTTGCCCGTAAGGATTTTTTTTCTTATTATTACAGACTAATTCAGACTAATTCTTGTTTCAGTGAGTTTTCCATGTAAAATAGAATTCTAGTGTATCTCATAACCAAAATCTTGATTAAAATTTCCTTTCTGCTATGCAGTTACTTGGTAAACAGACTCTGCAAAGGTCACGCAGAGCAAGAACTTCTCCTTGGATATGCAGTATAACACATACAAGTACATGCAGGCAGAAGCTCCCTGTGCTTTTCCATTACTTCCACTCATGTCAGCGGATCTTGGAACAGGCATTTCAAAATGAGCCCCAGGGATGTGCAGGTGGCACCTGGAGCCCATTCACCCATTAAGAGATGATCCAGCTGCACACAAACTGGCAGCACATTGAGTGTGATAAAACTAACAAGCTGCAAACTGATTTTTCAGAGAGAGCTCTCTACCTTTTGTGCCTGCAAGAAGCCACTAGATAGCAGTACAGAAGCAGAAAGCAAGCCACATTTTTCTGGTTCTTTCTAGTACGCTTGTGTTGTGGGTGGCCTTTTTCAATGCAGTGCTGCGTTCAGCCCAGTCCTGGTAAAGAAACAAAGCTAACATGATGTCGTGTTCATCATCTTCCTTCCCTAGGCACCTGCAACATACTGACCAATTCTGTTTTGCCAAGTGTCATGGAAATTGGTAGCTGGATAAAGACTCAGATTTGTACCCCAGGTGGGATCCAGCTGGTCCCTGCGCTGGCATCAGCTGGACATCGGCTCACAGCCACTGCTTGATGGTGAGCAATGGAGACGCTGGGATCGTTACAGGGAAAAAGTCTCCAGGATATTAGACACATCAGGTTTCATTAGTTCTGTTCACAGAACAGCTGGGCCTGTGTGTATTTGGCATTGTATGAACTGTACCTGGTAGAACATAGCAAGTTGGGTATTTTACTGATTGCTGGCTAACCTGCCTGATGCTGTTGATGATAGGGCACTGCTGTCTCCTTGTGTCTGTCCCCACTGGTTGCCGTATGTGCTGCACTGAAGGATGTGAAGGTACAGAGCAGCATTGCAACATTACTTTGACACAGAACAAGCTCAGAACAGTTCTTTGAGCTTCACGCTGCTTGCATCTGCCACTAAGGTGGATACAGCAGCATCAGGGGGCTATGTACTGGTGAAAGAAACCAGGCATCCTGGCTTTGCTGGAGCCTCATCTGTTGGGGATCTACTTTTTGCCACTGTAGCACAGTGGTGGTGTGATGGATAAGGATGCTAATGAGAGGTAGCCTCCTACTCCAATGTACTACCAAGTCCAACAGGTCAGCAAGCACAAGAGTCCTTCTCTGATGCTGTGTTGGGGGGGATGTTGAACAACTAATCCCTCCCAACCTTCCTGTGCTTCTCAAGATTTTGTAGACCTGTTCATGGTGCCCCTTAAGCTGTCTTTTTTCCAGGCTGACTCATCTTGGACTACCCATCTAATCCTCCTGTGGAAGCTTTTCAATACTTTCCACTATTCTTTTTGCCCTTCTTGGGATCCCTTCTGGATCTAAGGTATGCTTTTGAGTGGACTAGAACTATACATAGAGTCCCATGTAGATTTGTACAGTGGTGTAGTGCTGTCTTCTGCTTTGTTTTCTGTGGCTTTAGTAATAACTGTTAAAATTTGATTTGATTTTTTTCAATGCTACCAAGCTGAGGGATGATATTTTCATGGGCTTGACTACTCATGATAAGCCCAAAATCTAATTCCTGAGGGGATAGTGTCTGGTTAAAGCCCCTCATTTTGCCACGTGAACTTGGAATTGCTCTCCCATTTGCACCATGCTACATTTATTTGCACAGAATTTTGTCTATCAGCAATTCTTCGTTCCTGACCTTAATGCCCTGAATTACTTTTGCTTTATTACTCATCTTTTCCAGAGGAGAACTCCCAGAGAACTTCTTTATCAATTGGTCAGAAAGTAAAAAAAATTTTAGAAAGAGTAAAAAAAAATTCTTGGAGAGGGTGTTGCAGATCTTTGGGAAGGATGTTGTTCTGGCGAGAAAACACTTGTGAGTATTCCTCCCAGGATGTCTTTGCAAATAGAAAATATGAAGCTTGGGAAAGAAAAAGAGGGGTCTTCAGGCAGAAGGCAGAATCAAGGGAAATGAAGAAATTAAGAAAATGTAAGCGATGACAAAGTCAGAGGTGAAGACTCAGCCAAATGTTTAGGAGTGTAAGAGCACAGCCCTTGTTCTTGCTGCTCAGCACCACAGATCAGTGATGGGCCTTCAGAGTTCCATGGAAAGGGAAAACAGAGTATATTGAAATCTCTGGTGCTGAGTGTCTTGGAAGAGGAAAGGAAAATGGGATAGAATAGAGTGTGATAGAATAGACTGCTTCAGCTGGATGGGACCTACAACGATCACCTAGTCCAACTGCCTGACTACTTCAGGGCTGACCAAAAGTTAAAGCGCGTTATCAAGGGTATTGTCCAAATGCCTTGTTCACCCTGACAGGCTTGGGGCATTGATCGCCTCTCTGGGAAGCCTGTGCCAGTGTTTGACCACCGTCTCAGTAAAGAAATGCTTCCTAATGCCCAGTCTAAACCTTCCCTGGTGCAGCTTTGAACCATTCCTACGTGTCCTATCACTGGATATGCAGGAGAAGAGCTCAGCACCTCACTCTCCACGTCCCCTCCTCAGGAAGCTGTAGAGAGCAATGAGGCCACCCCTCAGCCTCCTTTTCTCCAAACTAGACAAGCCCAAAGTCCTCAGCCTCTCCTCACAGGACATTCCTTCCAGCCCCGTCACCAGCTTTGTTGCCCTCATCTGGACTCATTCAAGGACCTTAACGTCCTTCTCAAATGGTGGGGCCCAGAGCTGCACGCAGGCTCAGTGAGGCTGCACCAGTGCTGAATACAGCAGGATAATGACCTCTGGTGACTGGCTTCTATCCAGAAGCATAAGGAAGGAGCAGTTGTGGTACATAAAATCCAGAAATGGAGAAATGAGACTTCATTGTGGCTCACTCAGCATCTCTGCAAAGTATAATATCTAGTTATCTCTCCTTCCCCTTACTGCACCGGAGTCGCCGTCAGCTAAAATGTCCCATTTTGTGCTGTTTCACTGGATTATGATACAGATCTTTATAGGTGAGTCTTCACCTGCTTTTTGTGTGCTTGCCCAGAAAACAAAAATTTGGTAAAATTAAAACCAGCGACACTTGTTTTGTGAAAACAAAATGGTGAAAAGGGTTGTACTTGTATACAGAACTTCAAAAATTTTCTTAATTTACTGAATTAATACTGATTGTGATTTTTTTTTTTTTAAGTGTGTGTGGTTTCCTCTGTGTATAGGCTTGGTTAGTTCGCCTGTCCCCCCAGATTATTTAATTTCTTTACTGCTGTTAAATGTCTACCGCTGGCTTTACTTCTTCGTCTGTCTCTCCACCCTGCTGCAGTGCTGACACAGCCCAAGCTAGGGAATTGAAATATTGGCAGAGTAATGAATGTACATATATGATAAAGAAAGGATTTTATGAAACTCTGAGGACTGTCTGCTGCTATAAACTGAGTGTGGGAAAGCACGGCTGGAGATTCCTCTCCTTTTACTCCCCAGTGCTCGGTTCACCCATCTGAAAGAGACAGAAGTCAAAGAAAAGTAATTTGGGAGACTGGGTCTTGCAAGCATGGTTGGTATTGTCTATGTTTCTGCATGTGCATTCAGGCGTCAGCAATGCAGTTTCCAAACTGGCAGAGGTGGCTCAGGAACATGGGTTCACCCACTTCTAGTGGGGTGTGAGCTCCTAGCGGGAGATGTGCTTTTAAATCACTTGGGCATTTCGGGAAATTCTTAGATGACTAAATATTAATTGGTTAAAATATTGGATGAATTATTCAGCATAAAAATCTACAGCACCTGTGATGTTCTTAAATTGATCTGAAAAGCAGTGTAAAAGTTTGGTCAGTGGTGGACTATACTGAGGGGCAAGGGATGATCCGTGCCCTGTTGAGGCAAGATAACACAACTTCCATGATGTATGCTGTGCAAGTGGAGCTTCTCCACCACCTTGCTGTAGCCCAGGGAATTCCACAATATTTTTTGTCTTTTGCCAGTCTCAGCATAAGAGACAGGAGGGCTCTTTCCTTGCCGTATCTTCAGCCTCAAAATAAATTGGAGGTACTTGCCTCCATTTGGTTTTATTTTGAAAAACTTTCTTAGATGTGGAGCTAATAAAGGGCAAGAATGGCTTTTTGCTACCTTCGCTTTAACTCGGCTCAGTGCTGAGAATGGGTAATCTTGAGACTCAGGAAACCAGCAGAGTGGGCAGTTAAATGCTGCTTGTCTGTTAATCAGTTATTTTCTCTGCAATTTCATCAGTACAGACGCTTCAAGAAGAAATTTAAAAAAAAAAAAAAAGGGTTTATAGGGAAAAGATGCCAAGTATTTTCTACGAAGACAGAAAATTATTCCAGAAACAGATCAAGAAAAAAATTTATTTTTCAACTAGTCATTTTGGTTGGAGGATGATGCCTTTGTCCATCCAATGACCAGTCTACAGGAGAGAAGACCAAAACAATAGCAACTATTGAAGTTAGTGCTTCATACCAACTGTCACTGAGGGTTGGTTCAAGAGAGACTATGTATAAATACGTGTGTATCTGTATGATCTGAACAGTTATGAATACCCCTTTCTATTTTGGAAGATGCATTAAACATCTGGAGTCCATTTCTTTCACTTGGATTAAGGATTTAGAGTGGCAAACCTCACGGACTGCAGTGGGAGTACCCAGGCATGGCTGATGCTCAGCGTGCCTTGGGCCAAGTCTGGATGCCTCAGAGGGTCACTGCCATGGACGAGGGCAGGATTCCTCTCAAAGTAAGACTAGGGTGTCACAATATAACAATCTCAGGAACCTCTTAATTTGAAAGACCTGTCAATTCAGTCATATTTACTATTTGTTTTGGAAAATGTGTCCGTGGAAGAGGCTGCAACTGGGAAGGATGTTATTTGGTCCTTGCAGAGGTTTATGCTGTTGAATCAAGGCTGTAGCGGTGTTGAAACTTTCCACACCAACCTGCAGTGCAGGCAGATACTAGCAACATTAGCTTCACATAAATTAAAAGAGGATTTGAAACTGCAAAACCTTTAACTTTCTAGCACTAATACTGGTGGGGAACTCCATTGGCGACACTCTGGTGCCTTGTTTCTTCCTTCTTCTTCTTTTTATTTTTATTTTTTATAATAAGCTCAGGGCTCTCTTTCATTCAAAGAGAAGAGCAGGCAAGTTGTAATTTGTTAGACAGTTGCTTAACGAAGCTGCTTTTGTGCTGTGCAGGACTGGGATGAAATAAGAACAGAAGATAAGTCCATTTCTCCTCAAGCAGCAGTGATGTTAACTCCAGGAACAGTTCAAGCTGGTCTTGGTTTTACACACATCTTTGTTGGGTTGACTTGAAAATATGTGTTAACCCACTCAATGGCCAACCCCCTGCTCCCCTAGGGGTACTTTCAAGGTCAACTGGATGAACTGTTTTGTTCTGTCATCACAGAAAGAGGCTGTTTCCTCTCTTTGTTTTGCTGTAACAAGGCAAATGAACCTACTCTTTCCAAGGACTAAAACAAGCAGCCATCTTGCAAAACCTTGTCCTGTATTCAGGAATTCATATTTTTGGCACATCCTACCTTTATTTTACTGCAAAAGCTTCTGCCCTTCACACCATATTGCATGTTGTTTTGTCTGCCTCTTCTCTTTTAGCATTTGGAGCTGTGGAAACACGAACGAGTTGGCTTATCTTGCCAAGGGGATAAGCAATAATGAAGCTGAAATGTCATCCCAATAACAAGTCATGAGGCAACCTACCACAGACTAAAGCCTCACCTGGGGAATAGTCCATTAAAGACAAAACAAAAGAGACATGGACACAGTTGGAAGCATCTGTTTGCTATCTGGGAGTCATGCCAAAAAGAAAAGGCACTCAAACAGCTGGCAAAATAGAAATGTCTGGCAACCCAGGGCCAAAGCTGGTGATAACAGCAGCAACTGCTGTAAGTCCTCTTTGGGGTAAGCAGGCTGGCCATGAGACATCAGATCTGTGGGACGATCCTCTTGTTGCAGCAGAGGACCAGACCTGGATGCTCCCCAGGTCCCTCAGTTCCTGCTCCACCATATGTGAATGATAATATGGGGGAAAAATGCAGCTAGGTATGAGGAATGGCACAGACTAGATGAATGAAAACCAGAAAATGTTTGTTCCTTTACAGGAACTTTTTTTTTCTATAGTGCCTTTCATGAAGAAATATTCAAACCAGATGCTAATGTGGGTATTGGCTGTAAACACCAAGTAAATTTGGTCATGAGGAGTAAGAGCACAAGGAAAGCATGTATGCACTCTTTTTAACATCAGCATAACGCTGGCAGTTAAAGCTTCTATGTACACTGTGCTCTGCAACATAAGTGGGATATTTAGCAGGGCTTGCTCAGACACGGAAAAAGCCGTGCACTCTCTGAGAACAGATTCCGATAGACAGATCCTGCTGTTCTGCCAGCTTAATTAGGCCCTAATTTCACACGTGAATCAGTATTTTGGACCCTGATATTGAGACTGTCTGTGAAAGGCAACAATGACAGCATCTCCTTTCTGGAGGAGGTGAAGGTGGACTGAGAAAACCAGATGTATTTCACACCGTGTTTCTGAACAACTTTCAAACAGCCTCTTAGAGAGATGGGATGGGGGCAGAGCTCCCAAATTCCACTTGTACAGGTGTAATCTGTGCTTGGGCTGCCAGCAACAGACCTCGGCTCCGCTCACCACATGTTTGATGTCAGTGATGTATTTTGTGAGCAGTCCTCCAGCAGCTGGCCGAGGCCAGAGCATGGAGCCCTCCAGCAACAGGCCAATGTCTGTGAGCTCCCGGCTCTTGTCCCTAGTGCCCTGGGCCATAAGCTGACACAGGCACCAGGGAAAGGCTTGGGGTGCCAGTGGCTGTGGCTGTGCCCTGCAGGCAGGAGCGTTTCTTTTCCTGTCTCATTGCGTTGCATAGGTAGAGCTGTACATTGGAGACTGCCAACACTTGTCTTTCCTTCTTCTTCCTTGACAGCGCACACTGCATCCGAAGCTGTTGTCAGAGGAGTTACAGGGCAGCCTGTTCAGCTGCCTTGCTTCTACCGGGTGGCTCAACGTAGGGACATCTCCGATGTGTGCTGGGGCAGAGGCCCGTGCCCAAATTCAAAGTGCAATAACAAAATTTTGCACACCACTGGCAATAGGGTGTCATTCAGACAATCTCAGAGATACAGTCTCCAGGGCTATATTTCCTACGGAGATGTGTCTCTCACCATTGGGAACCTGAAGGCAGAAGATGCAGGTACATACTGCTGCCGCATAGAGGTCCCAGGCTGGTTCAACGACATCAAAAAGCACATACGGCTGGAGGTGGTCAGAGGTGAGTTGTGAGACCTTCACGATATAGCCAGCAGGCAGAAACCTCTCACTGGATAGGAGTTTAAAATCTGAGTGTATGTGTGCTTTTTTTTTGTTTATTTTTTTTTACAAAAAGTGTTTTTCCTGAACTGGGTAGTTTTCAAGGGAGGTCTGCAACCAGTTGCCAATTTGAATCGCACTCAGTGAGCAGTTTTGATGAGAAGATAGTATGTTTTACCCTTTTTTGTCTTTCAAATTAAATATATTTGATGTTGTAAAAGATTATGGAATTAAAAAAGGGATTTATCATTTGAAGAGCCCTTGGAATTAAATTCTGTTTTTCATTTGGGGTTCACCCAGCACCAAAAAGGCTTTCATTTGGGTTGTGTTATAAGGACCCCTCTGTGTTTAGAAGTTTTGTCTCCAAGTCTCGAAGGACTTTTCCTCCTTCCTATTGTTTTGCTGAGCTGCAGGATAAAGTAAGAGTCTTAAAAAGTCGAGAAGAGGCTGAGAAGCATTGCAAAGCACAGAAGATGGTACTCACTCTCCACGCTGCAGAATGATAATTTTTTTTCTGACTTTTACAGGGTGTTCAGGGGTGCAATTGGTGCTGACGTACACAGTGCTCTTGTATGCCTGTTGTAACCAACACAACGGGAGAGTGAGGAAAAAGGCTGCAATCCCATTTCTGTCCCTGAGTTCAGCAGAGGGCAATAGAGTTCATAAAAAAGGACAGGCTGAAAAGATTAACAAGAAGCTTGTGGCTGAAAATCGAGCTATTGTATTTATTTTATTTTTATGAGGACACTGAAAAGCAAAATCACAAAGTTTGCAAGTTTTTGGGATCTACCATGTCAGGTTCTGGCTCTTCTACTTCTGTAAGAGGGTCAAGGAAGCGGTGTTTGAGACCTACCAAAATCTGTAGGTTTGGGAATTGCTCTGACTGGGACACGTTTTCTGTTAATTAGATGGTCTTTTTTAAATAGTGACTCTTCCATCTTAATTCACAGTATTTTATCAGTCAGATAATTTTAATTCATTTCTGGGTTGGCTTTCTTCAGGGTTGATTGGCAATGCTCTGATCTAGCTTTTCTCTTGGTTGTTTTTTTCCATGCAGCCCCTCCAGTGAGGACAACCACCACGAGAAAGACTCCTGTTCCCACCAGAAGCTTTAGAAAAACAACTTTTGCTCCCCAAACAACCTCTGATCGTCAAACAGCAGCAGAGACTGCTGTCCTCTTGACAACCACCGTCCTCCCAGCAACAACTGCAGCCACCAAGCCTCCAGCAGTAGTTACACTGGAGACCACTGCTCCCCCAACATTTGCTGTGACAGCAACCGATACTTTTCCAGAAACTATGGTGACGACCAGTGCTGTCCCAGATTTTTCAACTGATGTCCAAGCAGCTGATATGAGTACTGAAGATTATGATGTGTTCTGCTCAACGGAGCCTGTTTCTCTTCCTGGAGGTACAAAGAGTAACCAGAACTAATCCTTTCTTTTTTCAGTGTAGCAGAGAGGTCTATGTTAGCTTGATTAGAGAAACTCTCCAGATACTTATATTTATATCTGGGAAATTTTCTCCAAGATGCCTATAGGTATGTCTCAGTAGGTTTAAGGAAACACAGGTCAAATGTTGTAGATGATGCCAAACAGGAGTGAATAACCAAGAGAGTAGAGGGTCAGGTTTGCATTCAGGGGAGTTTTAACAGGATGGAGAAATAATGTGATGGAAACCTCATGATGTACAACAGAAATAAATGCAAAGTCCTGCACCTGGGATGGAGTAAGAGAGGTTCACTCAACTGTGCACCATATTTTTCTTGATTTGGGAAAGACAATTGAAATGGTCTGCTGCAAAGATTAGTTTAGAGCATGTTCTGCTTGAGCAATAAAGTCAGTGAGAATTCAAAACATGCTTAAAATTGAGTACTTACATTGTCATCCCATATGAAGGCTGCTGTTATTATTAATATGCAGTCAATCAGAGCGACCTCTTATCATCCTAACCATTCCTAGGTTGCTACTTTATCCACATCAATGACTTCTTTTCCACAGACTGATGTCTGCACACAAGGCTGTTTTTTGTACTTTTTTTGGGGCTTCTATCACTTGAAATTCTTTCTGACCTGAACCTCTGAGGACAGCTTTTCTGTATCTTCTCTCATCTTCCAGCCATAACAACATGCCCCAGCTAAACTTGGCAAAAAATTACTTATATCAACAGCTGAACAGTTAAAACATCTAACCACTGGACATGATAGTAAAGCACGTCAGTTATCTGGGTAGGATGAGCTGCAGACATGAAAACCGAAGTACAGATTTTCAGCTCTTAGTTGCAGAGGCAGAACTGTTCAAGCAATTTTGAACGCCATATAAAGACCCCCCCTAACATGTGATCTTTATAAGCATAACTTTTTACTTTGTTTCAGTGACTGCCAAATTCCCAAGTACACTTCCAACTTCAGAGGGAATTGATACTGGTGCTGATACTTCTCTCATGGTTGAAGGTGTCCCAACTGCAGGTGGGTAGGACAGCATTGCAAGGTCAAAAGTTGCATGTTCAGAGAAATTATGAAGTTGTCATAAACAAAAGTATTGACTATTCTTAAGAGTGTACCAAACATGTCCAGATAGCTGTTCATTGCATCTGGAAGTAAGAGGTATCTGGGGTCCACACAGAAATTGTTTGGTATCAGGATGTAACAACAGATGAGAAACACACGTTTTCAAGCCTCCAAAGGAAGTAGATTGAGTCACTCGCTACTGTTGGATATCTCAGGTCTGAGAGAAGTTAAGAACTGGTCTTCGTCACCATCCAGGCTGAATTGTCAGCTATCTGATTTGTCATCACTGTGAGTTCACCGAGCTTTCAGTTTTGAATCCTCTCGGTGTGTTGTGAGCTTTGAACCTCACTGAATATATTCATCCAGATGTGGCTGCAGGCTCAGCTCTCCAGTGCTCGACATGTGTCCTTGGTCATGATGGAAAGCAGCAGGCAATTACCACAACTATCAGTGATTCCTTCAAGAGAAAAGAAACTGGTACACAAAAATCATACCATATCTGAGAAGTGAACAAACTTACATGAAGTTTGCACTTTGTGTGAGCAGCCCAAGTTATTCAGGTGTGATAGCCAGCCCACCAGATGCCCTCAAATGAGGACTTTAAAAAAGGAAAGATAGAATTCAAGGATGACGTATCATATTTGGTTGTTAAGAGAGTCCTTTTAGTTTCAACTAGTGCCAAGAATCTCTTTGTTCTTAAAAACACAGTATTTAGATTTTTGCAGGTCGTCTTTTGCTAGACCTAAAGACTGACAGCAGAAATATAGTTTAGGAAACTGTTCCTTAATGACCCTGGAGAGGGCTCACAGAAGAGACTTAACTGGTTTCTTGAGCATTTGTGAGGGTTTCTCACCGCTGTCTCACTTGCCATCTTTCTGATAGATTTCTGGATAATGCCTGTATTCTGCCACTGTAAACAGGGAGTTTTGCAAAGGCTCTTACCTCCGGGATTCTGGGGCAACTTAAGTTGGGCCTGTGGGCTAGAAAGAGCCACCACAAAAGCGATAACAGCAGAAAACCTACCACGCTTATGTGAATCATGTGTGCTCCCACCCGTGCAGAAACTTGTGTCATGCTATTTCCGAGAGGCAAACCGTCAGAATGTGTGAAAATGCTGCAGCATAACTGAGCCTGTCTAGTGGGAACCATAAGCCAAGTTAAGTTCTTGACTCTGTCTCCTTTTGCTCAGTGAAATAATGCACTAAATGGATGAACTTCAGCCTTATTGTAATGTAAGGGAAGGCTAGTTGTTGCTGAACTCTGTGTTAATGTCAGCACGATGGCTGGGAGAGAAACCCACAGTTAAGAGCCCTCCATCTCCAAGCACAACTCTCACCAGATAGGTTGGGGTAGCTGGGGCAGTTGGTTTCTGCTGAAAAGGCTCTGATTTCATTTCTCTTCTGTCTTTGCCTGCTTTCCCCCAGCAACAACCCCACCAGCACCAACCACCCTTCACACCCTGAAGAGAACCCTCACTCCAGGTACGGAGAATAAGCAGCAATAGTTGGTCCCATCAGCCAGGCTGCAGCATGCTGCCAGAAAATTTACTTTTGACTTGTGGGATGTGCATGTCAGGGTGAGATGTGCACTTCTTGTGTATTTGGGGGTAGTTCTGCTGAACTACAGTCTTCCCTTCTGGAGAGGGAACGCGGGGTATCCTAACACAGGTGTATGGCAAAATGCGATGTTCACATATCCCTGGGATTTCTAGCACTTGCTAGGGTTTTATCGCCTATATTTGTTTAGCTGTAGTGCTTCTTAACCATAATCTCTTTTTGACTCCAATGCAAATTTCTAGCTAAAGTTGCATGCATGTGAGCTGCCTGTGCCCTGGCCATGTCTTTGATAAAACGCAAGCACATTATTTGGTACATGGAGACAAATCAACTCAGGTCCTAGAGAGAGATGATCAGAATGGAGAAATTTGGAGGAGATTAGGTTGTTCACTGAATAACACACTCCGAAAAGTTAAAAAAAAAAAATCCTTCTAATGGGATTATTTGTCACCATCTGATCACCCCCATCACCACGTGACATTCTGGGTGTCTCATGCATGTGAAGTTCCCTTTGGCTGTGGTCGGTGTACCGTGGGCATGTTACATGCCCCGACAAATGACTCATCTGGTCACTGCTACATTTTGCTCGGATGGAGGCTCTGTAGTTGTTCTGCTGACAAACCTTTGGAAGCACTACTCATCACAGTCCTTCTATACGTTAGGGGATGACCTAAGGCATAGGAGCTTTCCTGTCATAGGGTGTCAGCTGAGGTTTTGATTCACTAAGCTAAGTGACTCTGTTTTTAAGATACTGCTAAATATTCTGTGCTTCCTGTGCCAGATCAAGTGTTCCAAATACCTAAATACTTCAGTATTGTGTAGTGTGAAGTCATGATGAGCCAAGGCCCAAGCCTAGATTAACTTTTTGTGACTTTAAATTCACTAGCAAAAGTAAGAGAGTAGGATCACAGGATAACAGCAGAAAAATTTGCTGCAAGAGCTGCTTGAGCATTCATTTAATTCATCCCTGTTTCCAAAGCTCTGAAAACTAGAATTGAACTTTTCTTAATATCCCTAGATAGAAAAAAAAAAAAAATGAGTCACCCTCATAGAGCATTCTTAAATCTGTGGTAAGTTTTCTGAACGTAAAGCTGTTTCCTGTGGTTTTCAGTACTAATGTAGCTTTCAAAAACTGCCGTCACACAGAAGTCTGACCACAATTAAACTGAGACAGTTCTTCCAGTTAAGACTTGTACCTTGCTTGCTACTGCTGCTCCTTCAACATCTAGTTGTGCTTACAGAAGTGAAAACTCCTTCACAGCAGACAAGTTTCTCCTCTCTTGCTTCATGGGCTAACCCTGGGAAGCCTCCCCTTTCCTTGATGAAGACTGACGTTTCCCAATGACTGCCTGATACACCATTTGTGGTGGAAACTGATTGTTCCCGGTGCTTTATTTCTCCTACTCAGGGCCAGATTTTGCCTTCCTCATTCCCTGACAGTCCATTACTCCTTGACTACGGCAGTGACAACTACAGTGGCCCTCACTCTTTCAGGTGACTGTGCCAGTAATAATTTCAATCACTTTCATTTTCAGGGATTTCGGCAAGTTCAGATGACAAGGCTGAAAAACATGATGATAGTGGAGATAAGGTAAAACTTCCTCTAAGTTTCAAGAGTATTTAACTAGAAGCCAGAAGGACAGTAGGACATGCTAGTGATTTTCAGTGTATTCATACTAAAAGGACAGTTTTTGCAAACTGTAGCTTGAACTTTTTTTGGAAGCTCAGGAACCACCTATTTCCTCTTTCCAAGGGATAGTGCCAAAGCCTGTGAATATCCTGTCCAGCTTGGACACTTTAGAAGAAAACTCATCCCCCTGACACGTTTGTGAGAGAGGCAGAGGTAACATCCTTGGGGTATGACCAGGCAAAAGACAACTTAGGAGGGTTGTTACACTTCATTGTGTCTAATTAAGAGGAGGATGAGGTTGACTAAGCTTCTACTTTAGACACTTTATTAAGAAGTTCATATTAAGTGGGATGAATCTAGGCTCAAATACTTCAGAAGATTTATTAAATACTTAACAGGTAATTAATGTTGTTTATCATGAGCAACCTGATGTGTCTTCTCAATACTTTGTACAGGCAAGCTCAGAAAAGCATTGCAAGCTCCAGCCCAATGCAGATATTTCAGAGCTCTTAGCCACCAAGGCAACCTACTCCTCCATGAATAGGTCTGAAGGAAACCTCCTTCTAAAGCCTTTTCAGTTTTTCTCTTCTCCCTTCCAGTTTCCCAGCTATGCCATTCTCATTGCCTGTGTCATAGTGGTGTCCGTTCTTTTCATACTGATGCCTTCATTGTTCTTTTGGAAACGTAAGTATCCTTAAGCACATATTGATTAATGTGCAGATGTCCTTTGGTATCTCTGGTTAATCTTCTGGTAAATCTGCTGCGGGCCCTGTGACAGCATTCTGTTCATTTTATGGGGGTTGCTGTCCTTAGTCCAGGACTGTGTCACCATGAGGAGAGCAGGGAGCATGAGTTGGTGGGGACGCAGCAGCAGGTAGCCTGTGCAAAGAACCTGTTCGCTCACATGTTGCGGGTCTCGCTCATCTTATTGGCTATTGCTTTGTAGTACAGTGGTCCTGTAGTTTCCTGGAATTGCTCCTGACAGACTTTGGTGTAACTTAAATCAGAATGAAATCCTTTCTTTCCCGCTTAGCCCACAGAAATTTTGCAGCTTTGCTGTCTTCTGAACACATTTGATGGATTCATTAGAATTATAGATTTCTTTTTGCCATTGTGACATTAATATTATTTTGCTTCTAGGTAAACACACAAAGAAGTTTATAATGAAAAGGTAATCCATTTTTGTAATTTCCTATTAAAAGTTCCAATGTAATTTTTCTTAGAGACAGGAAGGTATTGGCCACCGATTGTAATAAGTGTAGTATTTGGCTTGTGGTGCTGTCTACCAAAATTGTATTATGTGCAAACTTCAGATAACTTCAACCCCAGAAAGATAAACAGTGGTTCCTGGATACTGCTTCTATGTAGCAATGAATGGATATCCAGAGCACTGGAGAACATCAGCAACTGGTACTTACCGTTATGTAGTGACCCCAGCTTAAGGAAGTACCTAATCTGCTTTATTCTTTGATCAAATACCAGGGCATGACCCTGGTAGGGTTGTTTGAAAGAAATGAAGAGATAAACGGTTATGTTGATCAACCAGCAAAACCATTGCTCAGAAAAGGATCAGGGATTTATGGACAGCCCTCCATGAAGTGGCAATTCATGCCGATGCACAAAAAACGGGCCCCATGTAGGGTACGCTGCAGCAGTGTAACCAAGCTTTCCACCACTAGATAAGTCTTGCAGCTCTCATGTGGCCACTGCACTCTCTCACGCACTCCTTGGGTCACACTGAAGTACCCGAGGTGATCACTGAGGTGATTGTTTTGAGGCAGATATGAAATATGGAAGTATGATGAATAACCCTGTGTGGGTGCAACTGTTAAGTTCATGTCTTCTGGCTTATCTTGAAAAAAGGATTTTCTCTGGACAAACCACAGGGTAGCTCATGGAAGTATCATCCCTTTGCCAAAGACCATTAATTTTTCAATGGCAGATGGTCTCCCACCTACGAGATAAGGATTGGGGGCCAAGGAAGGACTCTTCTGAATCCCATGGTGGTTACCCTACAACTGTCATTGTAAGATCTGAACAGCCCTTTCCTTCCCATTAGAAGAATATAACCAAGGTAAATACTTCTGCAAAAAGTAGGCATTGCACCACTGAAGTCGGTGGCCTCACTAGCTTCTGGTATCTGTTTCAATGGGGGTTTGCTGATGTTACAAATAAGAACAGATGCTCTGAAGCAGCAGTGTGGTTTTGCCCCATCCATAGTGCTCTATGCTTCTCACTACAGCCCAGCGGAAGACGTTGAAAAAATTTTCAGTGGTGCTGAAGGAGAAAACAGCATTTTTTCCCTGTGAAGAGCTCCTAGATCATCTGTAGATGCTATGGAAAATAAAAAGGGCCTGTTTCATGCTGCATTGAGGGATGTTTATGAGCCCTCAAAGTATCAATGGGTGTAAACAAAAGGCCAAAGCACTGTTTCATGCTGCGTTGAGGGATGTTTATGAGCCCTCAAAATATCAATGGGTGTAAACAAAAGGCCAAAGCTTCAACTGTGAAAATTTAAAATCTTTTTGCAAATTTTTCCGTGTCACCTTTAAAACTCATAGTATAAAGAAGCTTCTTTGAGAAAGTACTTTATGCATTATTCATAGGTGTTTCTGGCATCTGCCTTCCTTACTAATACCATGTTACAGAACTGAATTTGTTTTCTTCCATTTTTACTAATGCTCTTCCTTGAATACAACTTATACTGTGAGGAACAGAAGAGAGAAGAAATAACATGGAATGCTGCCTAACTTCAAATGGCCAAAAAAAGAGAAAAAAACCAGTAAATACAGTTCTTACTTCTTTTATATAATCAAGAGAATAATTAAGCCACAAGAATGCTGCAAGTATAAATCAAAACCACAGATTACTTAAGCGGCACCGATGCTGCCTGTGATTCAACATGTTTGAATGACCCTTGGAGACTATGTTAATAAACTTTGTAATTTACTGCTAGCAATTGTATTTTTATGCTACATCCTAAGGCATTTGAACAGGAGTTAGTTATTCCCCAGGTGTTGAAATGACTGATGTGCTGGCTCAGCTCTCCAAAGAAGTACTGCAGCATTTCCAGAGGTGGGACAACGCCCAGAGGACCAACCTGCAGGGAATTTTTTCTATTGTGCCCCCACAAACCTCCATACCATTCATTTGTAAATCCATGTCTCCCCCATCAATGTGCATAGTGGATCCCCAGTCATTTGGTTGGAGTTGCCTTTTGGTCTTCACGATGACCTGCAAAAACCAGCGGCTCTTGGGGTAGAGTCTGCTTGGCCATGCAGAGCTGCACCATGCAGCCCCAGGGTGCCTCATTTAGGCCCCCAAGTCACAGGTTAGCATAGTGCTGTCTGGCTGGGTTTTGTACGGATGAGACTGGGGTGCCCAGTCCCACCAGTGCTGCCCATTCATCTCTCAGAGAAGTTGCAGGTAAGCACAATGCAGAGCACACCCACATCTTGGAAAATTGGCCATCCCTTCAGGTGCCCATGGGAGGTGGGTGAAGCCACCTCAGTGTTTCTGAGCAGCATAGGCAAAAATCCCGTGATCACCATGGAAAGGCTCTGGGGACACTAAAAACAGTGATGAAGAAGAGACGAAGGGTGGCATTCAACTTCTGCTGCTTCTGGTGGGACAGAAGGGCTGTGAAGGAGAGCATTGCTGCTGCAGGGGTCAGAATTTGTCCCCAGACCAGGTGCTCAGACATATCCCTGTGTTGTGCTCAGAGCTGACCCTGAGGGTGGGGATGGTTTGGACACTGGGGGCTGTATGGGCACGTGTGTGGTTAGCGCTGGGGGGCAGCCCAGCTCCACGCTGCAGACTTGGCTTGGCCCTGGGGTGCCTGAGCGGGAGGCAGGGCTGCCGGCATCACAGAGCAGTCCAGGGAAGTCTGAAATCTTTCCTCTTATTCTCAAGCCCTGTAAAAGCTGCCATAATGACAGCACTGCAGTGCTACCCTTGTCTTCTGCTCAGCTGGGAAAACTGGAGCCTTCGAGCGGCTGCGGGGCAGATTGGCAATGCACGGTAGAGTGAAGCCCATGATGTCACCAAGCTATTCGCATGCTTTCTGAGGGGCCTTTTGCTTGTGTTTCAGCTGGGTTGAGATTTTGGCTTTAAAAACCAGACTGGGGGCATTAGTGAAGTGGGACTGGCCACAGAGGCTGGGGGATCATCTATGGCATACGATGCAGAGCTTTTGTATATGTCCTTGGTTTCCACCAACTCCGCAGCACTGACTATGGGAACAGTATGGGAGAAGGTTCAAATACACAGCACTGTCAGTTATCTGCATCGCCAGTCCCTGCTATGGCAGCTCCGGGCAATGACAACTTGAAGTAAGCGCACATTGTGGGAACAGCATTTTATCAGAATAAAACATTGTGTGGCAGCTCTGGACTTCCCCGCTAGTCACGCTTAGGGCTGCGGTGGGACTTTCTGACTCTACAGCGTCTTCTCACAGGCCATGGGTTAGGGGGAAGGCAGAGGAGGTTCCTCTTTGTGGTCCCTCTCCGTGGTCCCTCTCCGTCTCACCCAGGGTCAGTACCTGGCAGCACACCCTGGTCCTGTGGTGCTTTGGGAGGCAGAGGACAGTCCCCAAGCAGAGGATGTAGCCTGCAGGCTCCCAGGTTGGGTTTGCTCAGCTGAGACCTGTGTCTGTCTCATGCTGGTTAACGTGGCTGCGGTCACCCCAACACACAGCACGTGCCTGGCACCTGACACTGCTTCTAGGCATGAATCCCACACAAATCTGTAAGGAATAAAAAGGGGAAAAAAACACCAAACAGTTTTGGTATACTCCTTTAAAAAAGAAAAAGCTTTTTTTTTTTTTTTCTCCCCTCCTCTTTTTTTTTTTAATTTTTTAATTTTTTTTTCCTCCAAGTAAAGCTGGTAAACAAGCCAGCCATGCCTTCATTGCAACTTCCAATTGACAGGGCTGGGCCAATCCTTTTGGTCTTATTAATTAGCTCTGCACTAATGACTCCTTTAGAGCAGTGCTGGCTCTTGCTGGGGAAGGTACGAACACAGAATCACAGAATCACAGAATGT